GAGCCGTATTGCCTCAAACGTAAGCCCCTCAATCTCTACTGATCCGTCCAAAAGTATCGGTCATCTTTTCGGGCACCTCCACGATTCGCCTTCCTGGAACAACGGTGTTTGGTCACTCGGCTCGGGTGACCGGAACTGGGATTTACGTTAACGGAGCATTCTCCGTTCATCACCCAAAGAGAGTGTCATCACGTGTCCATATTCCAAGTTCCGGATCTCCAGTCAGGGCAGCTGCGGAGGCCACCTGAATTTCAGGTTGCATCGTCACACTGGGGTCTGCGGGATATAGCCGATGTCTGCTTCAAACGGCAACATACTTATGGAAGACGGATACCGAGCACTGTATGCAAATTCCGCTAGGCAGAGATGGTCATCCCAGTCATCAGAGTCCGCATTCGAATAGGCTCTCAGGTAGTTCTCCAGCGTCTGGTTCAATCTTTCGCTAATGCCGTCCCCTTGAGGTCTGAACGCGGTTGTCATCTTTTGCTGCACACCTAGCATCTCACACAACTTCTTCCAGAAGCTTCAAGTGAACTTAGCGTCGCGGTCTGAAACAACCACATTTGGCAAGCCATGTAGTCGAAAGATCTCCTTGTCAAAGCGCACAGCCACATCAATAGCCGCATCCGTGCCCTTCCCGGCTACAAAATGGGCCCTCTTCGTTAAATGGTCAATCACGACCATAACGCTATCGTAGTCGCGAGGCGTCGTTGGCAGACCCGTGATAAAGTCCATCGCAATGTAGCTCCATCGCTGCACTGGAATGTCGTGGCTGTTCAGTAGTCCGGGGGGTTTCTCGTGTCGAGCCTTGGTACGAGCAAAAGTTTCACATCCTTTCACATATTTCGTGATATCACTGAACATGCGTGGTCAATAGTAGTGTTCGTCGATTAGGCGGCACGTGCGGTCAATACCAGGGTGGGCATACACGGGACTATCGTGGAACTCTTCGCAGACATGCTCCAGTAATTTGCGTACAAGACGAGTCGGGGTGAGTCATGATGTCCTGCTTGGTAGAATAGTCTCCCATCGAACAAAGAGTAGCGCTCCAGCAGCCGTGGAGATGCTAGCGGAGTCGATTCACCCTTTTTCGCTGAGTATCTGGGGTCCAGTAGACGCAACAGAGCTTTGGTCGTGTCATCTTCATCATATCGACGAACCGCTTCAGCTACTGTAGACGAAAGAGAGCCATCACCCGCTGGCGGACTTGTTGGCGTGTTGAAATCCCAGCTAGCGTAACCGGCTCAGCGCTTGTCATGAAATCAGGTCTGCGCGAAATACCGTCAGCGACGCTGGTCTCGGCTCCTGTGATATATCGAATCTGAAACTGGTACTCCGCCAGCTCATCATACCACCTAGCGATACGACGCGAGATTGACTTTTGCTTGAACACCGTCTCCAAACTCTTGTGATCGGTCTCTACGACGAAAGGTCTGTCCTAGAGATATACCCGCCAGGTACGAAGACCGAACAAAATGGCTAGAAGTTCATTTTCACGCATAGAGTAGTTCAATTCTGCGGGCTTGTACTTCCGTCCGGCGAAAGTAACGGGCCGTTCAACTTCAACGCCATCATGTACTTCTTTTCGGTAGGGGACTCCGCCCACTGCAAAGTCGGAGGCGTTCATTATCACGAAAAAATCCTTGTCAAAATCAGGAATGGCAAGCACCGGGGTTTGCCCAACCTTCGCCTTCAAGCACCCAAAATGCTCTGTTAAAGTTGGAGTCCACTCCACCTGCTTATGCTTAGATTTCAGCAAGTTGAATAGAAGTCCAGCGTCGTCAGCAAAACGGTGACAGAACCGTTGTACGTACGCAGCCGTACCAAGGAACGACTGCAGCCCATGCCTTGTAGCTGGTTGCGGTCAGTCTGTAATGACCCTCACTTTGTTGGGGCTGAGTTGACACCCTCACGGCCTACGATATCGTCTAAACAAGGTATGGAGTCCGCACAAAATACACATTTGCTGAGTTTCACAAAGAATTTGTGCTCATCCAGTCGCGCAAAGACTCAATCCAAGGCATTCAAATGCTCTTGCAGACTAGTACTCCGCGTGAATACGTATATGTCGTCGAAATAACTTTGACAAATATCCACCAGATCACCCAGAATTCTCCGAATACCGTTGTTGAAGGTCGCTAGAGCATTTGACAATCCCATCGGGACAACTAAGTAATCGTAGAGACCGTCAGGGGCTTGAAACGCCGTGTACGGGATGTCCGCCGCTCGCATCCTGAATTGTATCCATTGAGCAGGTCGAGACAGGAGTAATAGTACGCACCCTGCATCTTTTCCAGAATCTTGTCCTTCCTTGGCATTGGCATTGTACGTTGGACAGTATGAGGTATCGCTCGGAAGCCGTGCACTATTCGCCAGCCATCCGGCTTGCGGACACAAAAAGTGGGTGCTCCATGAGGAGAGGTTGAGCGGCGAATGTACCCGATTGCTTCCATCTCGCGAACCCATCGAGTAATTTCGGCTTCTTGAGCTGGTGACTGCCTCCACAGCTATCGAAACACAGGATCCTCATACTTTACTTTCATTTTGTGAAGCCCGTGCTCAACAGGAGGTAGCTCAGCCGGGAGCTTCTGCTTGAACAAACTTGGGTACTTACACAGATAGGGGTATACCGGGTGGTCCTTGTACTCCTCGATGTCTTTAGCTCGCGTTGCTTGTGGCACCTCTGTGGTCTTGATCACTAGCACGAAAGCTATCTCCTGGGGCTTCTTCATCAGCCGCCGGAATTGTTTTAGCGAAATAATTCTCGTTTCCCCCGTGTCCAAAGAGTGATCCGGATGTTGCTCAACTGGCCTGACGGAATCCTTCATCCAAACGCGTCCATGCTGCAGAATAAGCGCCGAAAGCCGCTCATGCAGCGTCTCCATAGACAGCCTGATGCTGACAGTTCACCAGACGATGCGAGGGTTTACGTGTCGTAGCCACGGCATACCGAGCAATATCTGCTTCGCCTCCGGTACTGGAAGTAAATGGAACTCAGCTGTGTAAGGCTCAATTTCCTCCAGACAGAGTTTAAGTTGAGCCGTTTTCTTCGGAACCACGATACTTTCTGCATTAGCCATAGTCAACGATAGCAACACATCGTGCGTCACAACGCTATCCATTAAACCCAGCTTCTCCACAAATTCAGGTGTCACTGCGTTAATCGAGGCGCCGCTGTAAACAAAGCCAGCTGCAGCGACAGCTTCGTCGACCCGGTGAACATCACACTCCAAGTTCACGAATGGATGTTTCAAACTCTCGCCGACGTGAATAAAGACGGCTTCCTTCTCGACACCAGACTTCTCCACAACACTTTCTCTTTTCTTCTCCGACTTCCATTTCACCAATCCACGCTTGTCCCGTTGTATGGGCCTCCGCTTGATCGCCCATCATCAAGCGGTTTTACTCGTTTAAATGGCTCGCGGAGTCGTCGTTGTCGTCGACGATAAGCTTGTCGACTAGTGCATAGTACGTGGCCTTGTAGTCGGTCTTATCCGAGTTGCCTGCCTTGCACAGGGACTGTAGTCGCTTCTCTGGGTGTTTAACCCAACAATTGTCTGGGCTGTGGTACCCTTTCTCACAGTGGGGGCATTTCCCTTTGCCACTCGGCCGGTTGTTGTTGGCGCTGTCGGCGTTTCTGTTGTTGCCTTTAGCAGCGGGCTTGCCCTTCGCGTTTTGTTCCGTCGCCTCATTCCAGTTTGCTGCTGCTGGTTTGCTTTCTTCCAGGCGGTCCAGCCCAACTTCGCGGAAGCCTTCCTCAACCACGTCTTCCAAGATTGTTGGTTTCTTACGAAGGATCTGTTTGCGCTGGTTGTTGCTCTTCAATCCCTGAAGGAAGATCTCCTTCGCGAACTCAGGATCAATTGGGGATTGTCGAGGCTTTTCTTTAAACTTCGCCACGTAGCTTTGGTAGTTGCCACGCTGTTTGAAGTTGAGCAAGTCGTTCCGCATTTTTTTTGCTGGCAGTTTGGCTCCTTGAAGCACTTGTCCATCGAAAACTTCATGGCACTCCATGTTTTTACCGTAGTGGGGTTGAGCATGTACGTTTCGTACCATGTAGCTGCGTTCCTCCTGACACACTGGACTAGCTCACGAGCTAGGTCTGCATTATTACTCTCCAAGTCGTAGCTCTTGAAGCTGAAGCAGCACTCAAATTGAAAGACAAAGCTCTTCTGCTTTTGGCCATCGATATCGCCGTCGAACGTCGGTGGCTTGGTGTCCATCTTCCGCCATTTGCAGTTATTCGACACGGTCATCATGACATCCCTCCCGCCATTCGGTGGCGGCGGTGCCATCGCAGCAGAAGCTGCCGCAGGGCGCCCCATCTGCGCGACTGCGTTGGCGGTTTGCTCAGCTAGTTTCTGAACTTGATTCACCACACCAATCAGCGTCTGCAAATCGGCAACAGCAGCAGCGGTCTGGGCCGCAAGGCTTGGAACTGCGTCGCGGTTGCCGCACTTTACTGGGTAGCTTGCTGGGTTGCAGCAACCGTCTGCACGAGCGAGTTGATGCCCTCGAATATCTGGTCAAGACGCTGGTTGACTTGGCCGAGGTGCTCCCTCATTTCATTCAGAGTTTCCTCAACACGCTGCACGCGCTCATCGATGGGGTTCCGGGTGCCGTCTTCAATCGCGAGGCGTCGCTCAGCACGGCTTCTGGTCTCCATCTTGGTCGTTGGTTAGCAATTTCTACTATGTCGCAATAAGTCGTCACTTATTGTGTCTTGGTAGCACTAGCAGAGGAATTCACAGCGCTTAAGTACTCAGCAAGATGCCGTCGTAGTTAACAGTAAGCAATATAAGTAAAATTGAGATCTGATTGAATAAAGTCGTGGTTCGCTACCTAGCTCTTCGTTAGCTACATGACTCTTTTTCTCTTTCTCTTCCTTCATGTAAAATGCAAGACTTGAACTGCAACTTCAAACTGACCTTACCTTACCTTCACGATGCACAGCCTCCAGCGATCACAGCTGCCGTGTCTTACGGTTGTGTCCCACATCAAGCAGCTCTAATGATCTCGTGACATCATGCGTCTGGGGACAAATGTCACCACCCATTTTTGAAAAGCAGCTTTCGTCGGAACAATTTCATGCGCCGGTGATCCTTGACCTCACTAGTGAATGAAGGAGTTGACGGTGAAGTGGATACCGGTCCATCGGGGACACTGGAAGGTTGAACGGTGGCAGTGGAGACTACAGGGACCGGAAGATACCAGAGACCTTGAAGTTGAAGACCAGCAGCGACTTCCGAAGATCGCAATGGTGAGAATGACACTGCGTCGGACAAGCAAGGGCAAGGTAGACCAGAGAGGCTGGTGCGACATGGACACAAGACGATGAACGGCTGAGAAGACACCCAAGGAGCCGCCGAGGGAGGATCCTGACGGTGACAGGCGCTATACTTAGGATAGGTGTAGTGATAGTGGGGGCTACGGTGGCTAGGAGGGCTCTTCGACGCGTGGCCGGCCGTCGGATCTCTCAGTTTCGATTCTGCACGACCGTGGAGAGTTAAGGAACTACTGGGAATACACGCGTGGAGAGTTCGGCTCCACCCAACTACCGTCGAAGGTCATTAAGGGAGCGGCCGCGTACTGCGACATACAGGTCGGCGTGGGCCCTTTAGTAATCGCTCGGAGTCGCAGAGTACTGAGGTACGACAATGGAGAAGCATGGATAGTGTGGCAGGGACCGTGGTTAGCAACCACGTAGTTGTGGCGCTTATCGATAGTGTCTCGACTGTACGTACTTACCTGGAACACATGAAGGGTGGTACAAATTACTTGTATATTGTATAGTGTATCGAGTTTAGCATGAGGACAAACTGTGGGCTCCCCAAGTCAACAGTTGCTATGAAATGTCTTCTCCCTAGTCGTCTCTACTGAGCAGCGTCCACCAAGGTCCTCTTGGTAACATGCGACTTCTAGTTCCTGCTCGTGTGGCCCCAAGCGCCCTTCAAGTTGGAAATTTGAGTACGTTAGAGAAATAGTGCTGACATGGTGGTCATTACAGTGGCTTTCTGAGCAAGGTTGCTATAATGGTGGACTTTGCGATCCTAGTCACAGTGGGCAAGAACCATAAGCGGGGGGACATCCTGTACTGGGGATGGTGCAATACTGGCACCAGACAACACTGGTCTATCCATTAGAAATACGGGCAATACGGGCCTGTAACAGACACAGACAGAGACACAGATGGGAGCCATTACTAAGTTCCTAGCACTGCACAGTTTACTGAATTAGCTACTGACTCACGGAAAGCACGGATACTGAACACACGGATGGATTTTGTATTACAGAAACACACGGACACGGACACGGATGGTTAGCTGAGAACATGGTTCGACGATCGGCTAGTGCTGCACGGGATGAACGGGCTGAGAGGCGCGCTTCTTTTCCTGACATAGTGGCTGAGGCGGCGCATGTATGTGCAGGCCCAGGAATAGCTTACGTAGGAGGCAAGCAAGTTCCACACGCGGTCCTGCACGGCACAGGAGGGAACTTGATACCGACGGCAGGAAACATACGGGCAGCTGCGTGTCAAACTCCACGGGCAAGTGGTGGAAGCGGAGGAACAGCTCCTGTGGTTCACACACCGGTCTCGGGAGGAGGACAACAAGCACCGTCATCACCAGTAGTACCAGCACTTGGGGTAGCGGCAGTCCCTGGAGGCAATGGTAATGGCGGTGGAGACGGTGGAAACGAAGGTAACAACGGTGGCGTCAATGAAAACCAGGGCCTGGACAGCGCTGGTGGCGGTGGAGATGCTGGACAAGGACAAGCAGCAGTAGTACTGGTAGGAGACGGAGCAGGTGTAGGAGCCCCTGTGGATCAAGCAGCGATGGCACCACCCGTACCGCCAACTCCCTCTGTACAAGTTGCTCCACAGTTCTTCGCCGTACCACAAGCAGCTCAATGGATGTACCAGGCACCTGCCCGGGAGAAGAAATTGCGTCTGACGAAGTTTAAGGGCTTGGGAGAGCCGAAAGTCACGGTTAAGGCATGGCTGAAGGCAGTAAGGAACGAACTACGTCGACAGACAGCTATAGTGCGTACCGAGTGGCGAGAACATGAAGTCTTCATTGAGATGGTGGCAAGTTTAGAAGGTAAAGCTCTGATGTGGTATGGCACGGTGGAAGACGCGTTCAGTATACGCGAAGACCAGACGTTCGGCATCCTGAGTCGGATGATGAAGGATCGTTACATGGTTAAGCGCTCAAACCCAGAGGTGGTAGCGA